TTTCCCCCCAGCCTCTCCTGCCCCCCACCCCCGCAGGAAGCCAGGGCAGTTGCTCCAGCCCACGCGCCCCGCTGCAAGGGGGGAAGGGCGGGGCTGAGCTGCTGACCCGTGTGCCAGGGGTTGCCCACCTCTGCTGTCAGCCGTGTCACTGGCCACGCTGTGTGGGTGGAGCAGCAGGTGAGTATCTGAGGACTCTAGGAGACCTGGGCTGTAAAATCACCCAGGACTCTCGCGCTCAGGGTCGGCAGCAGTGCCTGGAGTCTGGCTAGCGGGGCTGTTCAGTGTGCCGCTCTCACTGCGGAGGCTAGCTGGCTGGGCGGCAGAATGGGGCTATTGGGTGCTCACAGGCTTTTCCCCTACAGATATATAGATACTTCCCTGGGTTCGACTGGTTCTTCCTCGACACCATCACAATGAGTGGAATTAAATTCGCCAATGATGAGAAGTAAGTGGTGACGCTTGCCTGTTGTCTGAGCCGTGAGCCCTTTCCGTGACGTTCTCCTCGATGGCTGCCTGGCGCAACTCCAGTGCCGTGGGAATAAGCCCCAAAGTGCAGCGTCCCTTCGTGCTTAAGGAGGTCCAGCAGCCCCAGCTGTCCTTGGTGTGTCTCTCCCCAGCAACTCCAACACGCAACTCTGTCCTTTTTCATTTTTGTAATGCACTTAATCCTATCCTAGGGGCTGTTAAAACCAACCATTTCTCCCTTGCACAGGAAAGAACCGAGCTGACTGGCTACTCAGACCGTGAAAGCGAGAGGCTCTGCAGATGTCTAGAAATGCTACTTTTTTGTGATTGGTTTCTTTCAAACATGCTCTAGTTCCGTGGTCCCCAACACGGCACCCGCGGGAGAATGTATGTGCGCCCGCGCCGGCGTTTTAAAACTACTCACATTCGCCCCGGCTTAGAGCGGGGTCGGCAGCCTGGGGCCCGTGAGGGAGCCCGACGCGGGGCTTTAGAGGCTTGAGCCCCGCCCCCACCGCAGCAGGCAGCCCGCGCAGGCGCTTCGGTA